AATTAATGTACAGGGCTAGTTTTATAAATGTGAACCCCCCTTTATCTTTTTTGTTTTCCACCTATTCGAAAAATTTTGAAATTTATTTTATACAATTTTTCAAACAGTTTTCACTCATTTTCACAATGATGCAATATCTATTCAAATATACAGGGTATACAAAAATAAATATATTTTTCAAATGAAACGCCCTGTATATTTCGATAAATTTGAATTCACCAAATCATCCTGATTTCAAACATATATATATAGGAGGATCATCATCTATCAGAATATACAATGCATTCCATATACAAAAATCAATATATTTCTGTATACCCTGTATATTTGAAGAGATATTGCCACATTCTCTCAATATGATCGAAATCAATATGAAATATCGTAAAAAAATCAGTTTTGAATCTTCTCGAATGGAAAGAAAACCAAGAAGATGAAGGGGGCTTCACATTAATAAAACTTGCCCTGTACTTCTCGTGTGAAGGTCGTTGATTCAAAATAGTGGTAGTATTGCTCAATTTTCTTTCACATCAAAAACATTGTAGTGATTGTTATTGGAAGATTTTGTGTTTGTGTGTTTCAGAGAGCTTCTTGGTGAGTTCAAATTGATAACTCTAAATTTAATATACTGGTCAATCATGTTACCTATAATTTTGCAGCAAAAATATGGCTTTATCACTTCAAATATGGATGGAATGTGTTATAAGTTATACAACGGTAGGTATTCGAAAATATATATATTCTATTGACAATTCTCTCAATCTGACAGAAGTATCAACAAGCTTTTCCAACTGTTATCATCTACAGACATGATCATAATTATCTATCATATTATACAGAGGGTTATATAACATAAACATCATAACATCTAACAGAATGTGGTACTTTGTCAAAGAACAACCTGAGGTTGGTCGAGATCAATAAAATCGCATTCACTCTGGGTACCAGTTTGTGTAATGCTCTACCAGCATTTCACGCCTTCACAGGTTGTGACTACACAGCCTCATTTGCCAGAAAAGCAAAGCTGACTCCTTTCAAATCACTAGAGAAGAGCAAAAAGTTCCAAGAAGCTTTCAGTAGAATGGGAGAGAGTGAAACGTTGTCTCATGAAACAATTGAAGGTATGCATCGATATTCAATAGTAATTCGATAATTGAATAATGTTCTATTTCTCCAGATATAGAAGAATACGTTTGCGAAATTTATGGGAACCGAAAATTATCCAGCGTCAATAAGGCTCGGTTCGAAATTTTCTTGGATTGCTACAAGCTAAAATCGAATCAATCTCCTTTCGGGGGTATCAAGAATTTTGAGGCCAGTCGTATCCCTCCTTGTAAGGATACATTGATTTGCAAAATACGACGTACAAATCAAATTGCAGCTATTTGGAAATTTGCTTTCAGTGAGAAACCAAATTTATATAACCCGGAAGGAAATGGATGGGTTAAAGAAGGCGGCGAATATAAAATAAATTGGTTCCAGAGCGAACAATTTCCGCGAAACCTAAATGAAGTACTGGTAGCTGCCGATGATTCAAGTGAAGTTGAATCTGAAGACGCTCACAGTAGCGACGATGATGAGTAGTAGTTAATGGCATATTTCCATGAGTTTCATTTGTTATGTTCTTTTTGTTCTGTTATTTTTTTTCTACATTTCATTATGGAAGTTATGTTCATCTTTAATTAAATCTATAATATTCATCTAGTTCTAGTTAATTGAACTCTGTTTGTCTGGATGTGTATCCTATTTATTTTTCAATTTTCAATAATTTGGAAACCTTTCTGCATATAAGAGAAGAAAGACTTTTACTTCCATCAAATTTTGAAAATATTGTGAATGTTTCAACAAAAAAATACTATATGCTCCATGTTTGAGCTTGGAATGACGTCGCTTACGTATCGTCCGAAAAATTATTAGAGATATTTAACAAGACAAATGGGAGTCTGCCGGTTCTGTGCCGCCGTCTTATGATTTTTTCTACAGTGGCAAGTTGTAGATTCTTTAATTCTCTATCATTCGATGCAAAATACAAGTTGAAATATTTATTCTTGTCACTACACAAATTTGACATATTTTTGACATTTCTGACATATTTGTCACGGCGTCTGCTTCGATAACGACTTCGTCTGCTAGAAATCTGAAATCACATTGATATACACAACCAAAAACATAACAAATGTACCGAATTTCAGCCTGGAATAACATCATTCAGATATCGTCCAGAAAAAAATAAGGGAACCACTTCACATGACAAATGGGCGTCTGCTGGCTCTGGACCGCCGTCTGCTGATTTTTTTTCTCGAGAAAACCTGTAGATATTCCCATTGTCTATCATTTGATACGAAATACAAGTTGGAATATTTATTCTTGTCATTTGACATTTTTGACATATTTTTGACGGCGTCTGCTTCGATAACGACTTCGTCTGCTCGAAATCTGAAATCACAGTGATATTCACAACCAAAAACATAACAAATGTACCGAATTTCAGCCTGGAATAACATCATTCAGATATCGTCCAGAAAAAAATAAGGGAACCACTTCACATGACAAATGGGCGTCTGCTGGCTCTGGACCGCCGTCTGCTGATTTTTTCTCTCAAGAAAACCTGTAGATATTTCCATTGTCTATCATTTGATGCGAAATGCAAGTTGGAATATTCATTTTTGTCATTTGACATTTTTGACATATTTTTGACGGCGTCTGCTACGATAACGCCCCCGTCTGCTCAAAATCTGAAAGCACAGTTTTATTCACAATCACAAAGGGAACGTTTGTCCAGATTTTCAGTCTGGAAGAACTACTTTAATCTATTGACAAAAAATTGACCTTTCAACACCCCCTCCTGAATTAATGCCCCCACTTGAAGGTGGCAGACGGGTGGTGTTATACTTACTATTGTGGGGTACTTCAATCAAAACCATCATACCTTTGGAATATTTACTTTAACCATTTTTCACGCGAGCTCTTGGTCTAAGAGCCATCCTTCCATTACAAATAATCATCAATTCCACCAACCATAATAAGATAGCGATGAGTCACAATATAAACTGCCGCTGATCATGATGTGGAATCACTGAAATTCTTCTATGAGAGAAGATACTAGCTATTCAAGATATTGATATACAAGGTGATCGGGAAACGAGAGTCAAATTATAATATAGAAAACCCGTTCGAGAGCCGACGATTCAATTGTTTTGTGATTTTAATCACTGGCATACTGATGGTTCTTTTTTGCCGGTGATAATGATGAACTTCTTATTTTTTTGTGACACGAATGCAATGTACCTGTATCAGAGCTATTGTATTCAAGAAAGTTATTGTTGTTCGTATATATAAAGAGTGAAGATGAAAATACTAGCTGATCGAATAAAATTGTTTATTTATCTCAATGCATAATCTAGAGTTCTAGAAGCACATATATCCATTTTGTGTTTGTGAAAGAGATGGCTCTTCAAATTTCCAGCAGTGTTACATCTATGTTGACAAAGAATACAACCAAACATTCTTTTGTTTCCACATTGAAAGATCATATGGTTATTGAGATTACTCTTCCTGCTATATTTTTTACCACAATCTGGACATTGTACAGCTGAATGATCTAAAAATAAACATATAGGCATGATCAAACTATATTTTTACAAGCATATTCCGGAAAATCTGGCTCATCGAAAAATTTTGATGCGCAAAACTATCTGCGGAGTAGATTTCCAACGTTGAAGTAGTGATATTCATGCAAATTTACGAATTTCTGGTAGAAATACTTTTTCAGTTTTTTTTTTCAGAATTCCAAGTTAATTTTCTATTCGCGGAAACTTATTGATATAACTTTTGAATATTTTTTTGACATTCATCCGAATTTCGGAATTTGAAAATTATTTTTCAAATACGAGTTTCAAGAATCAATATTCATCTAGGCGACACCTGCATGCCCCTCTGGATCCGTGCCTGGTGCAATTATTCCGCTTAGTTTAGGTACTGGAGTTATTTTTAGACTACTCCGAAACGCTAGCGATGCACAGTGCAGTGAGCAGCGCGCAGTTACATTTTAGCAGTAATATAGTGGGAACAGCTTGGGCGACAGCCTTTTGAATTTAATTCATAATCCTAAGTTTTTTGTGCGAAGTACCTATTGAGTCTAACGTGTGTGTTGGTGAAAGTTACGAATCCTGTAAAATTGGAAACTCTTTTGATAGAGTTAGAGATGACTGAACACAATGTTAAAACATTATAATATAATGTTATTATCACACATTTATTTGTGAAAATAAATTATCAATATTATTATTCTTATTATTATTATACCATGTCTTCAAACTAAGAATCCAAATATTTCCATTGATTGAATATCTATCTCATAATCATGAATATAACATTATTCCAATGTGTAGCTCTATAGACATATAAAGTCATTAGAAATGAATATACAGTATTTCATAAGAAAGTATAATGTATAGTATTTTTTACAAAAATGTATGTTTGGTATAGACAATGAACGTTTGCTTTGAATTACTATAAAATATTCTCAGATGTATTAAAATAATTTATGTTGGTACCTACAATATTTCTCTCATATAATTGTATCATAATACTTACCATTTTTTATTGCTGTCACATAATATAGTACCAGAAATTTTGGTGAACTGTACAATAATTCTGGTAATACCTGCTATCTATTTTTCTCCGTGTATATATGTTAAATATGAGAATATGTGGAAGACTAATAGGAACCAGATTTCAGTATTTTTCAATAGTAATAAATTGAGGAATGACACAGTATATAGATGGATATCATAACAATATATTAAATCTGAATTTGACCTTTGTTGAATGGTGCTGCTGATTTTCAACGAAAAACAGAAAAATATCACATGTCCGATCAGCACCTTGGTGTTTATGAATTTCAATATAGGAACAAAGTTTTGCCATGTTTCAGTCATGATAACTATGACCAACTGACGAGAATCATAGTATGAATCATGATTAAAACTATGAAACAGAGGTCAGTCGTTTTTCTCTAATTCCTTCTCGTCACTCTTCGCCTGCAGTTCTTCAGCCTTTTTCTCCTCAGTTTTCATCACAGTATATTCCAAGTCTTTGTGTACTTTCTGCAGATGCCTGGCCATGTGCATCTTCTGCTTAGCCTTGTAGGGGCAATAGGGGCACTTAAATCTTGGCTCCTTCCCGCATTCCCATTTCTGGTGGTTCCTCAGGGAGCTTCGCAGCTTGTAGGTCCTGTCGCAGTCTGAGCAAACGAAACCTAGCTCAGAACCTTTCTTGAGGGAGTCAGCACCCAGACGATGGCCCAGCATCATGTTTCTAGGATTGCATCTCAACATTGTTATGGGTGATAGTAAATGAGTTTGCCAGTAAGTATCTTCTGAAGGACGAAAAACTCGTAAGTCCACAGCTGCAAAGGTTAATGAATCATCCCAGCAAACATCGAAAGGCGGTAGAAAGCCGGGCCCATGGCGAGAAAGGCGGGCAAATGTCGATGTCGGCATGCCTCGAAAGGCCCTCCAAATAATTTCGAAGGATTATGTGACGAAGGCAGAATGTACACATACTTATGATAGGCCTCTGTTTCCCAGTCGCTAGTTTTCCGCTGTATGTATCCAAGTCAAAGGGCCATCAATGGGCCATCAAAATTTCAACGGAGTGTGCCATTATCACTCACTCAACGTTGGCATCCCTCGCTCGTGTGAGTTTTTATTTTGATCATTTTGCAGTGGTAACAATGATTCAGTATGGCGTATATTGATTTCTTTGTTTATGTTGTCTCAACACGTCTCAACACTCTCAAAACTCTCAAAAGAGATTTTAGTACTGTGTTCAGTTATGGTTCAGTTCGTGTTTGGTTTTCTTGTGGATTTTTATACAAAATAGAAGGGAATTGAAATAAATACAGAGTGAGTGAGGAACAAACATATATACAAACTTGCACAGCTGAATAATTCTATTTTAGATAATGATTTAACAAACACCATTGGACAAACAGATGCAATAATAGTTTGGACGTGTTCAGCGGATACACAAGAATATAATAATTGAGGACTTTGAAGATGCATGAGCTTTCATTACATATGAATCGAAACGAAAATCAAAGATAGCTACTTGAAGAAACAGTTATATTTCCATACTGTAGGTATGTATAAGGTTGCATGTTTTGGATTAGTAGAGAATGAAATCATTCAATCTTTCAGCTACAAAATCAACAACCAGAAGCCCATCAATCACAGATAATTATAAAGAAATCACACAATGATCCAGACTATATGAAATGAATTTCATCATGGTATATGATATCTCACTTCCAGGCAACACTCATATCAATATGATGAAGAGTAAGGTTCTCCATATCTGGACATTGTTTTCTTGTAGGTTGAACTCCATTGTTGACAATAACTTGATCAATATAATAACTGATTACCTATATAACTTTCAAGTTATTTGGTAGGTACATAGGTGATGTAATTTTTGACCTAGAGTTAGCAACTTTTTGAAACAATGAGTATACAGAGTGATACGTAGAACTAGAATTAAGATGTTTCATGTTTCCATATATAGTTGTGATATGTATTGGTTGTGATCATGGCAATAATATACACACATGGATATTTTCAGTTCTTGTTTTTGTATGGGGTATTTATACTGCTAGTTTCCTGGAAATAACTGTGATATCAGAATGCCATCTCATAGATTTTTATGTAATTATTCAACAACTTCAGATAAGGAGTGAATTCCACAATTCTGTTTTACCCAGAGGATTCACAAAAAACTCGGAGACCTCAATTCTGTTTTTTGAAGTTCCACATTTTTTAACCAGTTTGAAAATAAAGAGAGTGATGCAAATCTGAGTTAAAATAAGATACGTTGCTTTCCAAGTGATGATATAAACTGGAATACCTATCAAAAAACCTATTTTCACTGAGATATGTGCATTACCCTGTATAATCTTTGACAAACCTAGTTGAAAAATGGGACATCAAAAAACAGAATACTATGAATATTAAATTTTTTCAACCCCGTTAACCAACGGCCCTGAAAAACTCCTCTATCGGGGGAATGAAAATACTCAAGCGGCCAATTAATGGCAGTCTCTGAAAAGTCTCAATCGGGCCGAAGATATGCCATGAATGCAGTACATTTGAGTACTTGCTTCTGTCCACCAGAAGCCCTGCAACGTAATAAGCGGCATACTGATGGCTCTAGTGAGGCGGTCGGCTGTCGGCCGCCGGGACACGGGCTAGCCGGCCCAATTTAGTTGTACAATAGAGGACCGCTGTTACCGCTCGCCGGCAAGTTTCATTGTACCTTTAGAGGGCCGCAAAAATCATGTTTGCTGGGATCATACCTTGAATTTTCAAAACATGAAGTGATAGGAAAAGCAGACACAATCGTTTTCTTCACACTGTTTTATATTCATTACTCCATATTTCTGATGATCAAGAGTCAATCACCAGAATTCAAATAGCTAAGTTTATTCTAAATGGAAACAACACGAATTACACAACATAAAATAAATTACTAAGAACGAATAAATCCAATGTAGGTAACAAATATGACTAGACCAAATATTTGAACTAACACACATAGGTGGAGAATCATAATTATACAAGGTTCTTCTGATTTCCTTCGATCTGTCTGAGCTGATTCACGGAAAAAAAAATTAATGGGTCTGAAAATGCTTCCTTAGAAAGTTATCAACTTCATGTCAAAAAGGTTTCAAGAGACCTGAGTTCTGAATGCGTCTATCAGTCGGGGTCAAACATTTGAACCAGCTCTTGGTGATTTTTCCAGAATTCTTCTGGATCGTCGATCCAAGCATAACATCCTAATCAATGTTGCCAACCTTTATTTCTACCAATAAAATGGTGTTGAATATCGAATGGAAATCATCCTCAGTAAAACATCTTTGATAGAGTGCTGTAGCTTCCTAAGGAAGAATGTACTATCATTTTCTTGAAAATTAGCTCAAGTGAATCCGGTGGAGGTCAGAAATACCCTGTATAAGTATGAAATTATGTTCAAATACGCTAAATATTTGAATGACTAGAATTTTATGATGAACATTAGATTCAGATCACTATCATATACAAATCCATTCCTACATATGCTTGTACTATTCGGAAATAGTTACAAACGGTATCGAACTTGCTGTATGTGTAAGCATCATTTGATCTCACATGACTAGGAAAATTGAACATATACGAAGTATTTCACCTTTGAAGCTGAAAGCAGCAAGTTGTTCAGCAAAATATAAACATTTTAACGGCCAAACTCATTTATACAGGGTGTTTCATTACTAATTGAGAATATTTCAACCATAGAATCTGGAACTCAAAATATGAAGATTCAACCCAAATCACCTAGCTGAAATATGTCTCCTGTCTGAGTTACAGGGTGTTTTATTCAAAAATTTTGAAAAGCTTTTTGCCCAGTTCTTCAAAACTATTTGACGAATCACTTTCATATTTGGAGGAAGGTGTACGTATTATACACCCAACTGAATCATGTGAAATTAACTTTTCTAGCTATTAACAGAGGCGTACGACAGGGGCAATTAATTTGTTGATCCCTCCCAAATTCTACGCCACTGGCGGAATTGCAATTCTATCACAAATTCTCGATTCTCCAACAATGTCAACGTAGATATTGTACTCATTCTCCATGGCGATAAAGTCAATATTTTTCGAGATATTTCAAGTTAAACATAAATCTGCACAATCATTTTGATTTCAATGTGCATTAATTTTGTCAATATTTTGGATCAATGGATTGTATTCATCAATAAAATGAAACTTCAATCCATATTAACATTAGAAACATAATTACATAACAGACAGGAGCTGTAACAGGGTGTTTAATAATGTGATATATTAAAAAATTTGAAACGCCCTGTAACAGCTCCCGTCTGTTATGTTTTTATGGTAATATGGATTGAAGTTTCATTTGATTGATGAATGCAGTCCATTGATACAAAATAGCGACATTATTGATACACATTTAAATCAAAATAATTGTGCTGCTTCATGTTTAACTTGAAATATCTCGAAAAATAATGACTTTATCGCTATGAAGAAAGAGTACAATATTCACGAAGAAGGTATTAGAGAATCGAAAAATTCTGATAAGATAAGATTTGGGAAACATCAACCAGTCACTTGCCCCTGTCGTACGCCTCTGGTAATAGCTAGAAAAGTTCATTTCACATAATTCAGTTGAATGTATAATACCTACACTTCCCTCCAAATATGAAAGTGATACACCAAATGGTTTTGAGAAACTGGGCAAAACACATTTCAAAATTTTTGTATAAAACATCCTGTAACTCAGACAGGAGACATATTATATCTAGGTGATTTGAGTTAAATCTTCATATTTTGAGTTCGGAATTCTATGGTTGAGATATTTCCGAATAGTAATGAAACACCCTGTATATAGAATCACCCATATTACTGAGACTGTGCTATAGGGTGCGAGATGAGCTAGATTATACAATATTACTGCAAATGATAAACTGAAAATTTCATCAGTTTCCTCATAGGCTTTCCCAAGAATAAAATTTTAATAGCACTAAATGAAAAAAAAATTGTTTTGCATGAGATCAATGAAAATTTATATTCTTCGTGAAATTATGGGTGAATCTATTTTGACTAGGTGCTATGTCTTTATTGGAGTGGTAAAAATAACCTGGACCTGAATTTTCACCTAAAAAGGTACCCTCATAGTCCTCATACGAAAACATTCGAATGTTTCGGAACAAAACAACATCGCGTGCATGGACTACTGAATTTTCTCATCAAACAGTACGCCGCGAACCTGTTTTAACCTTCTTATCCTCATACTGTATCGTATTTCTCTGCCTCAATTTTTGAATGTTCAGGTCGTGTGTATTCCTCATATGTTTCAACAGAATGTATCCATGTTTGAACTTCTTGTTGCATATCTGGCATGCGAACAAAGGACTTTGACCGCAATCGAATCTCAAGTGACGACCCAGAGTCTTCTTTTGTGCATACGTCTTTTGACACCTTGAACAACCGTATCGAATTTGTTTGTGGTTGAAAACCTTCAGTTCCATGTATTCTGTGAAAGTGGATGCGAAAAACGTTATTCCTATAAAAATAATAAACATAATATTACTCATTACCAGGTAGATAAGACATTTTTGCGATACTCACACTCAAAATACATACTGGAAAACAGGAAGATAACGAAACAAAAACAAGGAGTTTCAAAGCTGAAATAATAAAAAAATTAAGCGAACATCTATATGCGAACAGCATTACTATAAATATTACACAAACTTCAT